CTCTCTCTCTCTCTCTCTGTCTCTCTCTCACACACACATGTCGGCATGCCACACTGAGACGCGGTTGAAAATTGCAGACATTTCGCTATATACGGAGTCCGTGGAATGTGTCGAGCGTAGCGCGCTAACGGATCGCGGCGAAGCGGGCAATGATGATGAGTGAGTCGGATTTAACCACGGGTTCCCCCTTCTTCTCCGATTAAACGCATGCTTATCTAACGCGAGGAAAATGTCCGTGCAAGTGCGGGTATATCGGGGCTAGTATAGAATGAGGCGGGTTTACGAGCGGACTCGCGCGCGCGGCACTGCCGTTTGATGTCTGACAATTCCGCGCCGTTTTACTGCATCCCCACACAGCGGTCCGGCGTTTTATTAATCTTTCATGCAGCCTATATGGCCTCTCGGGCATGCACGCTGGTGTGTGTGTGTGTGTGTGTGTGTGTGTGTGTGTGTGTGTGTGTGTGTGTGTGTGTGTGTGTGTGTGAGAGAGAGTGTACATGTACGTGATGATTGTATAGTGCGCGCGTGTGTTCGTCTATCCATATGTGCTTACGACGAGATTTTAAAGCGATAGGGCAATCGTTTTTTTTACCCTGGCAATCTTACCAAGTGGTGTCTAAAGTGAACGTCGGTTTAAACCGTTGGTCGTGTATGTAATTTCTCACACACACATATCGCGCGTGCGCATATTGCATAAAAGACTCGCTTCGAATAAACACGTTGCAACGGAATACATCATTTCGTTTCGTCGCGCTCCACGAAACGATGGAAGTAATGGAAAGAAATGGAAGAAATGTCGGAGGAAATGACGCAGAATTATAATCTACGCAATCACTATATGCCCGTCTCATTCGTTATTGCTCATTTCGACTAAAACCTGCCGCTACGCGTTAAAACCTGCATTTACATAATTGCATGCAATGCCACTGCAACGATCAGCACTCGATTCCCTTAATAGTAGATTTAGAATTTAGGTGAAACGTCGTCGGAATTTCTTGCAAGTTGCCCCCTCCCCCACGGACTTATGTCACATCGAAGGACCAAGAGGATAAGCAAGTAAGTACCCCCTCTCACGTAACTCGCACCATGAGCGCCCCGTCTATCCCTACAGACTGCTACTTGGAAATCCTTTCCCGCCGGCAGGTTCGTAACTTAACGACTCACAGCGGCGGCGGTCAAACCGTCGCCAACGAAATCAGAAATCGCGTTAAGCTTGCGAGTCATTTCCGCGGACGTCGTTTATATGTGCACGCATTAAATAAACGCGCGCGCTCCCCCCCCCCGTATTTTTATTGTCGCCGTTTACGGGCGATTCCTTTTTCCCCCTCCTCGCATTTATCGCTCGTTACCACGTCACACGTGGCGCCGCCCTGGCGGCCACCGAGCTCCGGACGCCGCTACGTATCGTCTGGGCGCATGCGCGCACGGGTGCGGGCGGTCGGCGCATGCGCGGGTTCGCCGCGCGATGCAGCGGCCAGCCGGTGTGTAATTATCGACGTCAATGCGTCGGCGTAAGTTGATCGGTACCTCTCAGTGGTAGAGCGCTCTCGCTCCTCCACACGCTGGCTGGCTACCTGCGGCCGTGGTTACTGCTGCTCCTACATTCACACACACGCACACACCACACGCAGTGACACACACGTAGTGACCCGCGTTCTCTCGCTCGCGTACGACGAATCAACCGCGTGTTCAGGTGTGTGTTCAGACGGACGACGTGAGCGATGGGCCGCGTGCGACGACCCGCGAATCCCGGTGAGAAAGGACGACGGTAGACGGAGGGGACAGTCTACGGCGAGCCTCGACTAGTGTTAGTCTGCAACGCGCGGTCCTGTTCTTGTTTTCGCTCGTGCCGTTTGCTCTCTCTTTTTATCTCCATCTCCTTCTTCATATCTCTCTCTCTCTCTCTTTCTCTCTCTCTCTCTGTGTCTCGCTCTCTCTCTGTCTCTATATCTCTCTGTCTCTTTTTCTCTCTCTATCTTTCTCTCTCTCGTAGCTGCTCGTGTGTATATCGGAGAGCGTGAGGTGTGTGATGATTGTTAGCTACCGACCGACGGACGTCGCCTCTCCATATTTTTCTTCTCGTGCGTGAGTGTCGTCGGCATCGCTACGTGATCTCGTGCGCTTTCGTCGTCGGAGCGTCCGGAACCTATATAATTCACTATCACACTGTCGTCATTAACGTCGCCCAGTGACGCTGCCGTCATTAACGTCGCCTAGTGACGCTGCTGTTGCCTTCAACGTCGCCCAGTGACGTTGGCGTCATCATCGACGTCGCTCCGTGACGCTACCGTCGCCTTCAACGTCGCGAAGTGACGCTGCCGTTGTCATTTACGTCACCCAGTGACGCTACCGTCATCGACGTCACCCAGTGACGCTGCCGTCATTAACGTCACCCAGTGACGCTGCCGTCATTGACGTCACCCAGTGACGCTGCCGCCGCCTTCAACGTCGCCCAGTGACGCTGCCACCGTCATCGCCGTCACCCAGTGACGCTACCTTCATCGACGTCGCCCAGGGATGCTACCGTCGCAATTAACGTCGCCAGGTAACGCGTCGGCAGCGATGTCGGCAAACGACAGCCTGCTGTCGGCGCTGTGTCAACTGAACGCGTCGTCGTTGGCGGCGGCCAACTGCACGTGGCTGGCCGACGGCAGCGAGATGCCGACGACGCCGCAGTACATTATCACGTGTTCGACGGTCTTCTACGTTCTCATCTTCCTGCTGGGAACCGTCGGCAACGTGCTGGTGGTGTTCGTCGTCGCTGCTAACAAGGATATGATCAACTCGACGAACATCTTCCTCGTGAACCTGAGCGTCGCCGACCTGCTCGTCATCGTCGTCTGCATGCCGTCGGCGCTCGTCGACATCTACGCGAAGGAGATCTGGTATCTGGGAGAGATCATGTGTAAGTACGAGAGAGAGAAAGAGAGAGAGAGAGAGAGAGATCTGGTATCTGGGAGAGATCATGTGTAAGTACGAGAGAGAGAAAGAAAAAGAGAGAGAGAAATCTGGTATCTGGGAGAGATCATGTGTAAGTACGAGAGAGAGAGAGAGAGAGAGAGAGAGAGAGAGAGAGAGAGAGAGAGAGAGAGAGAGAGAGAGAGAGAGAGAGAGAAATCTGGTATCTATGAGAAATCATGTGTAAGTACGAAATAGATCATGTGTAAGTATGAGAGAGATCATGTGTAAGTACGAGAGAGATCATGTGTAAGTACGAGGGAGAGAGAGAGATCTGGTACCTGGGAGAGATCATGTGTAAGTACGAGAGAGAGAGAGAGAGAGAGAGAGAGAGAGAGAGAGATAAGAAGAGATAGAAGAAAGAATC